AATATAGACCATCCCCAGTGGCCTGCCCATGTTTGTGCTGGGGTATCCTCTAAAAGAATGTGGAAGAACAATAAACCCTCCCCGTATCAGTCAGCATAGACCGCCATAACAAAACACCTTAGACTGGGTGACTTAAACAACAGAAATTCATTTTCTCACAGTCTGGTGGCTGGAAGTCTGGGATGGAGAGCCCAGCACAGTCTGGGGGAGGGCTCTGTCCCTGGCTTGCAGATAGCTGCCTTCTGATTGTGTCTCCCAAGGCTCTCTTCCTCTTCTTTAAAGGGCACTCATCCCATCTTGGGGGCCCCACTTCATGACCTCATCCAACCTAATCACCTCCCAAAGGCCCATCTCCAAATCCTATCACACTGGAGGTCAGGGCTTCAACATATGAATGGTGGGGGGGGGGGGGTGGCAAACATTCAGCAAAAATGCAAACATGCAGTTTTAACAGTTATAAATTATGTTCAATGCTTCATCACAGCTTCAAAAGATATTGTTTCAACTGTATCCATAAATGATCTTTATAGTAAAATGATTTTACACCAATCTTTCAAATGTATCCAGTGTAAGATAAACATCAGAGTAATATAAAAACCATCATCATTCATTTAAAAATTACATGGGAACATCATTCATTAGGTCCGGAATTGTCTATCATTTCTTTTCTCTCTTTTTCAAAACGGTATTTCCATTCTGTCTCAATACGATGTGCTTATATATTCAAAAGTACTTAATGACCCTATTTCTGTGAACACAGATTTTGTGTACAAATTGAAATTTACACCTTTGTGTGTAAATGGAAATTGTTACTTACACTTCAAGGTTAAAGAAAATCCCTTCCCAGTTGAATTATTATCACAATTAGTACTATAAGGGATCATTTGTCAACGAACAACATATATGGTATATTTGGACAAGCTCTTACTACTGCAAAAGCATCTTTACAAGATGGATGGGGGATGGGACATATTGACTTGAAGAAAGAGGCTTCCCTGGCACCGTATTTCAGTATTAGCCCCAGAGACGGTTTCAGCTGGAACAGAGCCCCCTAGTGAGATCCTGGCTCTGGTTACGAGGGAGAAGCCATGCGTGTGAGACTAACCCAGCACCAGGCCTGTCCCACAGTGGGTCCTCGGACAAATCAGCTTTAGGACAGAGCTTATGTTCCGGAAAACGATTGCCCTAAAATTATCTGTGTCTCAGGCCCCTTGGCAAATCTGCAAATCTCCCCAGGAGCGCATGTGCCCATCTGAAGGGTCCTGTCTTCCTTCAAACTGTTAAATGTGGGGATTGGGGGACGCTCCACCACCCACAAGATAAACCCCACGGATCTACCCGGAATTCTTACGAGGACGCCTGTGGGCTTCTCTGCTGTCGGGAGACGCAGGTATTGAGTTTTAAAGCAAGAATGCGCTTCGATCAAATACACATGGGTCCCGTTTCCAACCCCCCCCACCCCAGCCCCCGCAACACACTCATCTCCTGGCACAGGCCCTCAGGTGAGATGGTGGATGGTGGTGCAGAATCAGGAGGAGGAAGAGTAAATGAGTGGGAGAGCAACACCTCCCAAAGGAGTCCCCTCCAGTGCTCCTCCTCTTCGTGGCTGCTCTGAAGACCCAGCCTGAGCTCCAGACGAGATTCCTTTCAATCTACTTACCCAAGTTTAAGTTCTCACGGGCTGGTAAATGCAGTGAGTTTATTTGCAAGCCAGGGTCATATCTGCCTAGCAACCCAACATGAAGACTAGAAGGGCTGTAGACGTAGACAGAGAACAGGCTGGCCAACTTTGCACAAAGGAATCTGTTCTCATGCAAATGACCCAAAGCAAGACGGCTAGAGAGAGCAAGCAGAGGGGAGAGCCTCAGGAGCCAATTTATTTCCCCAGAAGATGTTGACGGACTTTTTAAGGGCATCATCACAGCCTTGCCCACTGTAGATGAAAGACCCCAGGGGTTCTGCTGCCACTGGGGTTACGGCAGACACAACAGAAGAGGCTAAACGGGGAGCTGAACCCTGACCTTAATATCCTGATTTTTCTGGTTCTGTACTCCAGACTCCAAGGGTTCTTTTGTTTGTATTTAGAACTAAACAGAGTTAGTTTTGTTGGGGGGGGGGTTTGATTAGCATGGTAATGCAGTGCTTTCCCTCTCTTTGCTTTCCCCGGAGGAGTGAAAAAAACAGGGGTTTTCATGCTTGGTCTCACTAGGAAAGGGACCAAGGTGAAGCCAGCCTCTAACCAAGGCGAGCAAAAGTCACTTGCTTGTGGCTGGCAAGACTAGGCCGAGATTGGGTTTCCAACCCCACCCCCCCTTCACCAAATACAGGTGGCAAATGTCATCTCTGGATGAGCTTTAGTTACAAAAAAGGGCCAGGGTGTGTCTATAAATGTTCTGAAGCCTTGGGTGAAGCCCTGCAGTGCTCTGTGCCTCGACTTTTCTCATCTGTAAAATGGGGATAGTGCTGACTGCAGAATGTTACTGATGGGGTGAATGTTAGCTCACATGTATGGCATTTAATAGTATTGGGAACAAAGCAAACATGCAAAAAAATTAATATGTCTAATAATATTAATAAAATAATAGCAATTTAGTATGACTATCATCATTACAGTTATGCCTCCCCAACAGCCAGTGCTTTTCACTCTGGTCAGATACTCAGATGTGACTTTCTCAATCATTCGTTCATACCTAGAGCTTTTGGCATGATTTGCCTAATGTTTTAAATCAAGAAGCCCAAGCACCAGGAACTTCCAGGACTTGATCAGAATCACTCAGTTATAAATACTGGGCTACACCCATAGGTTCCCAAGACCCAAAACAGTAGATACTATGACGATTCCATAGTGAGCACAGTGGCAGGTCCTAAATGCACTGTGAGATCCTAAATCTCAAAGATTACACTTACAGTCAGTCCTGTTTTAGCACTGTTTTCATCTCAGGGATTCAAATCTTTTTTTTTTTTTTCCTTTCTTTCTTTCTTTTTTAAAAATCATCACGTGTGGCTTCTTGGAAGAACAACCCAAAAAAAAAAAAAAAAAAGGATCCCTGGAGGGGGGGGGGGGGGGGAGCGGTGCTTGGAGTCAGTAATCGGTATGGTAAGCCATAAATAATAACCATAAGAGCTGATGGGCACCAAGGGTTCATCACAGGCAGTCACTTTGATCCACACTTTACAGGCATCCTAAATTAAAACTGGAAATACGATTATTGACCCCATTTTACGGATGTGGAAATCGACCCTCCAAAAAGTTACGTTACTTCCACAAGGTTGCAAAGCTGATCAGTTGCCCCCTGGCCCGTAACAGAGCACCTGACACGAACACACCTGCTCCCCGCCCGACCCACGCCAGAGCTTGCAACAGCACACAATGGCACTTAACGCAGTAGACCATATCGCCAAGTCGTGAGAGAAAGCAGGCGGCGATTGCAAAGGGATTTTTATTAAAACTCAAACCGCCAACTCCTCCCGGCGGCGCCGCCGCGTGCGCGCGCTCCTAAAGTAGGCTTTCATGAGTTTCTGACATCAGAACCACTTCCTCGAAACCCCCACCCCCCACCCCGTGGAGGGAGCAATCCGTATCCAAGTCGACGGGGAAATTCAGAGAATAAGGTCTTTGCTTCCGAGCAGGTCTCAAATTGGCCCTGGGTAGGTGAGGTGGAGACCAGGAAACCAAGTCTGCGCCCCCGCGGGCTCCGAAATGCCAGGGATACGACACACTGCTTTGTCCCCCATGACAAGCTCATAACTGGTTTCCCGGGCTTGATCCGCTGAGTTCACAGTGACCTTGGGGTCGGGGACTTCGGGATGAGGGGCACGTACTCCCTAAACGTCCGGGTGCCTCCCCTCCCGGCGGCTCTCCGCGGATTAGGCAGCCATGCACCTGTATGCACGTCGCCAAACGCCAGCAAGGGAGGATGCGCGCGCGCCCCGAGCAGGGATGCTGACTCAGCCCGGCTGCTCACATCCCTTTCGCGCAACGCGGATGCTGTTGCTGCTGCTGCACACGGGGAAAAGCAAGGGACTCGTAGCAGCCGGGCCACTAGCTGTCTGGGGCTCACTGCGGCACTCCCTCCCCCGCGGACCCACAAGGGGAACCAGGCGCGAGTTGACGAAATTTGGGGAAGTGGGCGCTGGAGGAGGAACTCCGGGTTCGCGGCGCCGCGCGCGCAGCTCACACCCAAACTGGAAGGAACCTGTTCCGCCCGGGGCGGACGCGGAGCCGCCGCAGCCGCGAGCACCGCGCGGGTTTAGCCGCGGCGCCCCTCTCCCCGCCTGCCCCCAGCTAATCCCCAGATCCTCCAGGCGCGGGTGGGACTGGGCGGTGGGAGCGCCCGGGCGCTGCGGGAAAAGAAGCTGGGGTGCTGGCGGAGAGGTTGCAGGCGCCCCGAGCACGCCCGCGCTCTCCGCAGTTGCAGCAAAGCGCCCGGGTCCGCTTGGGCCGGCGCGCAAGACCGCGCTCGGGTGAGGGGAGCGGGGCGGCTGGCCAGGGACCCCCGCGGCAGGGGCGGGGGTGGCCCCGCGGGATCCTGCGGTTGGCTTCAGACCGCGACGCCGTTACCTTCCGTGACCCCCAGCCCGGGCTCCGGGCGGGCGCGCGCCCGGCGCGGCCCCGGTCCACGTGGGCCGGCGCGCGCGCGCCAGGCCGGCCCCCTCCTTGGCGGCGCTCGGCGCTCGCAGCACATGGTCGGCGGCGGCGCGCCCCCGAGGCCGGCGGAGACCGGCTGCAGCCGGTATAGGATAAGGGATAGGCAGCGGCGACGCGGGGCCGGGGCGCGGGCAGCAGCACGCAGGGCCCGGGCGCAGGAGGCCGGGGTGGGGGGCGGGGGGGAGGGTGTGGCCGGGGTACCCGAGGCGCGGCCGTGGGTGGGGGGCCGGGGCCGGGGCGCTGTGGGCTGGGCGCCCGGTGCTCACCCGCCGGAGCCAATTTGCGGTAGGCTCGGGCCCACGCCTTAAGGGGTTAAACCTTTCTCATGTTACCGAGCGGCTTATAAGGAGGGGGAGGCCAAGCCTCCGCCTTATTGGGAGCCTTTTGGGGTTTATTCTCTTCCCTTCTAACTTGGTGAGTTGGTTTTATTATTTTACATGTTTAAAAGTTTGATTGTGGGGTGTGGGGTTGTTTTTTTTTTTTAATCTGTGTTGGGAGCTTTAATTGATTAATTAATTAATTATTTTGGTTGGGGAGGCGGGAGGAGATCACTTCACATCTTAACATTTTGGAGAGGTTATTCTGAAAAATATTGACAGTTGGGAATGCCTGGGGCCACCGGGATGACGCGCTCTAGCCAATGTGGGCAGCTGAGAGTTGAATGCCCATGGCCCTGGCAGTTGGGGTCCGGAAAATAGCTAGAGGCAGGCTTGGTTTGGAGTGCCTCCCCCGAAGCCCCGGAGTAGGGGCTTCAGGCCATCGGGTGAGTGGGGAGGTTCGGCTCACCCCTGCGTGGATTTTCCGCATGAAGTTGCCTGCGCGTCATAAGAGCGAAATGTCAGAGGTACCTTCCCCAGGCTCCCGCGCGCGCGCGCGCGCAGGCGGACCACTGAGGCAGCGCGAGGGCAAGTGGGAATCCCTGTGCCCCCCCCCCGCCCCCAGCTGGCACACACACCCGGGGCAGCCAACGTGACCCCGCAGAGGGAAGGCAGGGATTGCCTTGCAGAGCGCGGGTCCCACACCTTGCCCGTCCGAGCTGTCAGCGCCTGACGGCTGGTCCCGCTCAACTTCCTAGGTTCCCGGTTGGGGCTTCAACCGCAGGGAAGCGCCCGGGTGGCTGAGCGGTTCCGTAGTGGCGGAGAGTGATTTTGCAGAGGAAACGGGTTATTAACTTCAGGGTTTTTTCCTTTTTTTTTTCTTTTTTCCTCTTCTTTTGGAAATGAAACCCGCCCCCCTCCCCACTGTCCCCCGGCAGACAGGTGACAGATAGAAGTTTGTTAGGTGGCACGGGAAATGTCAGCAAACGCGGGGGGGCGTTAGTCTTAGAAAAAGCTCCCCGAAGCCAACTGGGGAAGAGCATTACAACTTGACAACCTGGAAGCTGGTTTTGCTTGTGCTGTTAGACGCTCTGCGCCAGCTCCTTCTTGCGGGAGAGGGTTTCTACACTGGGAATGAGATTTCTCAGGAATCTTACTGTTTTGCAAATCCTGAGTGTCTTGTCTGCAAAAGACTACCACGTGCTTAGGCTGAAATTTCTAAGCGATGCATCCTTCCATGTCCCAAGCACCATTACGCGGCATTTTTGGGGTCAGCAATACATCCTGCCCCAGGGGTAAAGAAATACCTCTTCTCATAATTAAGGGAAGGGTGGCCAAGATAGAGAGTTCCAGTTCGTGAATAAACAATGCAGCCAAGTGGAAAAGCTCCTTCTGTCTTAATGAGTACCACTAACTGTGAGTTTTCCTTCTGTGGTTTCCAAAAATGGACCTTCCTCAGTGGAACTCCTGAGGAGGACACTTAAACTAGGGGTTCAGGTTTCAGCATCATGATCTTGTAAAATGGGGGTGTCGGGGGTAGCCGATGATTCAGAGCTGCTGAGGCAGACCTCCAGGTTAGGCTGGGGACTTTATAAATAGAGAATTCCGATGAACTTCACCCAAATGCAGACTGGTTTTGACAACTGGGGCTGAAAACAACTTGTCCAAAGCTGCTGTCTGCAGGCTACGCCTTTCAGAAGAAGGGAGATTGGCAGGGCGTTTGCCGAGAACCTTGGCTTATCCCAGCCATTTCAATCCGAAGGCTGCATTTTGAACTTTGCTCTGAACTGACCCTGGAGTGACGCTCGAATGTGTAATAATCCGATATTTTGCATTCTGGATGCCCCCAGATCAAATCTTTACTCAACAAATGGACTCATGGTGAAGTCCCGAGGTAGAGCAGATTTCCACGCCTTGGCAGAAGCCTCACTGATTTAAAGTTAAGACAACCGATACCCAGTGTATTTGGTCGTCGGATGTCCTTTGGGGGAACAGGAGGGTACAGGAAGGTTGACTGCCAGGAAACCCCGTTGTAGAATTTTACCGTTGGGAGTGCCCCTCAAGTCTGCTGTGTCTAATCCCCCCTTTACAGATGTTGAAATTTAGAGATTAAGTGATTTCCCCAAGATGGTGCAGCTGGTTAATGGTAAACAGACGTTCAGCAAATAATGCCCAAGAGCTTCAAGACAAACCCATGGGCTTTGCCGCAAAGGGCTCAAGAGTTAAGAAGAATGAAAGTGTAACTCAGAGCAAGTCGGGCTCAAAAGCTGTGTTGGAACGGTAAATTCTTAGGGCAGGGCGAGATCAGAGACGAAGAGCAAATATCTCCTACCTACTTACCCCTGATGGCAGGAAATCAAGGAGCAAAGGGATTCTGCCCCTCCCCATGCCCCACCAGTTCGGCCCCCCCCCCCCCCCCCCCGTAGTAAGCCAATTCCCCTTTCCGTAAGCTGAGTTCGCATCACCAAAAAACTGAACCAGACAGTGTTTCATATTCTGGAACTCACAGAGGGTTCTAAGTAACTGAGTTCAAAATTCAAGCCTTTGTTTCTAGCTTTGAGGAGCCGGACACTTTCAGCCAGTTGGCCTACTGAATGAATAAATGTACAAAAAAGGAGAGGAGTCCAGGGAAGGATGTAGTCTGCAGGCAGGGACTTCCCCACTTGGTTTTATAAGGCTAGAGCAAGGCCCTGCTTCAGCGGCACGCCCAGACTCCTGCTTTGTCTAGGGAAATTTTATTGAGCACATACTATGTCCGAACGTGCTGCCAGGCCGTGGGTCTGGAAAGAGGTGCTGACCACCCTTCTAGGTGCTCGGGACATGCAAAACAGAGCTTCCCATCCAGAAACCCATCCCATTCAGAAACCAGGTTACTCTATGATGATTCTAGACTGTGGTCTTATCTTCAAAGCTAAATACAACAGGAGATGCGACACTTTAGGATGATAGAGGCATAATGTTTGGAGGAACAGTGGGTTTGGGGGTGTCCTCTTCCCTTTATGATGTTCCCAGTAATGCTAATAAGAAAGCTTCTGTTGCCCAGAAACCTAACAATGCAAGTGAAAGTTCTGTTGGGATCTTGCTTCAAGGGAGTAGAAGGGATGTAAAGCAAAGTTTACAGAAACAAAGGAATCGAACACCAAGAGGGAGTTCAGAAAGTCCACAGGCGATAGCAGTCAGGTCTGCCATCTAACCAGTGACCACAGGTCAGGTCTAAGCAGGGTCCAACTACTTTTCACCTACATTCACAAGAACCATCTAGAATTTGGTTTTCTTTTTCTTTTCCTGCTCGCTCCCACGTTCCCTGGGCCACCAGGTTTGGCCTGAGGAATCAGGAGATTCCCAGAACTCCGTGCTGAATATGAGAGTATGAATGGCCAAAGCAGAATGGAACCTTCAAGAGCCTCCTGGCCAACCTCTGTGTACTAATGGAGGTCAAGGATATTTTGTCTCTGAGAGGCATTCCTCACAATCCCTACCTAAGATACCCCCTTCTGGGCCTTTAAAGTGCTGTTCCTTAGACAGCTGGGAGGCAGATCTGATTCTGGACTGTTTAGGTCAAGCGCCTTCCCATGGGGTTAGTTCCCCCACTTTGCAAAACGAGTAAGATTTTACAATGAGATGGACAAATGAGTTGCAAATCCCCTTTCTGCGCTAACATTCCATCATTGTAACCCCACTGGGCTCCCTGTGGTTGGGGTCCCCTCCCGTGTTGCACATCTAAACCGCAAATCATAAAGGGCAAAGAGGACGTGAGGTAGGCACCCATCACCAGAACCTTCTGACGACCGACAGGAACCCCCTCCTCATACAAGACCTGCTGTCTTGTCCTACGTGCAGTCCCAACGAAAAGATTCTTGTCTCTTAATCCCGTAGTGGTTTTAGGCTAGAGAGAAATTTCAGTCTGTCTCTTGGGGGCCTTGATCAGTTTCATCCCAATGTTTTTATTCAGGTTGGTCCTGAGCCCTAAGGTCGTCTGGACACCCTTCGGGGTTAGAACAACCGTGCTAATAGGCCCTTGGACTTGGTTACCGCTTCTAACTGCTTTTTAGAAATAACGCTGAGCTATGGAAGGACACAGCAGATGGTTTTACTACACATTTCAGGTTTAGGATTCCTGTCATTACCATCGACAGAGATTGAAGTCCATAGAGACAGAGACCATCCCTCTGTCTTTCACTGGGGTCTCCCTGGTGCCCAGCACGGGGCCTGGCCCCCTCCTAGGCACTTCGCTGAAAAGCGAAATACCGGCTGTGTGCGGGGGGCTGGAGGTGGGAAGGGAGAAGGTACAAAGAGATGAAGGCCTCAGGCTTTGTTTTCCTTGAGCTTATCATTTAATTGAGCAAATAAGATAAACATGCAAGTAAACAGTATCCCGTTACTAAGGGATACTGATCTCAGGAAGAGAAGCCCCTACGTGAAGTGGGTCAGAGGAGGCATCGTGTTAGAAGCAAGATTTGAGGAGGGCCTGACAGGTGCCGGCTGTAAAGGGGGTACCCAGCCCCCCTGGAGGTGGTGGGGGAGGGTTTGGTGGTTAACCACTGGGCGGTTAGGAACTGCAAGGCAAGGAGGAGTCCATCTGGACCAGGGCCTGAGTCAAGTCTTAGAAGTGGAAGTGAGAAGGCTACAAAGAGGGTGGGGTCCAGCGACGAAGGCATTGGAAGCCAGGCTAATCCGTGGGTTTTATTTGTCCTTCAGAAAGAGGAACACCACTGAAAAAGACTGAGCAGAAAAATGTCCTAACAGTGCCGCATTTCAAAGAGATTCATCTACTGGGGCACAAGGGGCCAGCCAGTGAGGCTGGTAAAGGAGTCTGGGGCTCCGCAAAGGAAAAGCCCAAATGAATGGCCTGGTAGGGGGCAGGGATTAGAAGGAGCTAAACTGTGGGCTCGCACCACCTACCCCCTCCCTCCTCCCTAAGGATAAACACTCAATACTAGTTAGACTGTATTGCTGGAAAGTACTTCTTATTTTATTTTTGGCCTTCTAGATCTCAAGCCCAGCCCTATCTCACTCCTCTGCCCTCCTCTTGGGAGGGAGTTTTGGAAGTCTGATGCAGGAGGGGCGTTGTGAAAACCTCCTGTCGGGGAGGGCTCCCCGCTTCCACCTTAAATCAGCTGCTTTCCATGTCGGGGAAGACCAGTGGCAAAACTGTTCTGTCAGTGCTCAGCCTACATCCCGAGACATTTAACTGGCCTCCCCCGCTTTGCAAGTGTCTCAGGAAGGACACACTGACGCACATCAAAATGCAGAGGTCTGCTGCAGAGAGCATAAGCTTTTTTAAGCATCTTATGCCCTGTTTCATTCTATCAAATATTTAACAGTAAAGGACAGAAAGTGAGTATACTGTCCTTCTAGAGACCTGGGCTACGGTGGGAATGGCGCCCTCGAGAGGATGAGCGCTACTAAGTTAGGTCAGGTTTGCTGCTTTTTAAGATGGACAGGGTAAACTCTAAATATTAGATCCTAATCCCAGAACTTGGCAAGGTCGACTGGATAGATGAGGTTGTGTCCTCTTATTTTTTCAGTTACCCTGTATTATCAGTAAAACCTGCCCTAGTACTTGAACATAGCAAGTTACAGCCAGGAAAAGGACACCCATGCATCCAGAAAAATTCACCTGTATTCACCTGTATGATCGTAGAGAAGTCTTAAATAAGTGTTCTAAGACCAGGGACTCACGTATTATTATAGATACTAATTTGGGGTTGGGCTAAAAACCCATCACTGTTTTGTTTTGTTTTTTCTTTACTTTTTAAAAATTATTTTTTTATTATGTTGAATTAGCCAACATATCCTATCACGGTTTCAAAGCGCATGTCGCTGCAGGGGACTCTGCAAATGTGTGCTAGAACCCAGTGGGGAAGAGTCAAGTTCACCCATCCTCCCTCCGGAGTTAAATATGGTGTTTCCCCTTACTAGTGTGTTAGGAGCATAGGTCTGTTGGCTCTGCTGTTTGTTGAAGAAAAGCATATTGAGGTCAGAGGGGACTTGGCAAGGTTAACTGGCTGTCCAGGCCATACAAATCTATAGTGCTTTCTTTAAAGGCCACTGTATCCTAGAGTATTTGTCCATTGCTGATACATCAAATGGTGATCAACTTTGAGGAACTTCCTTATGCTCAACAGACTCCCAGAAGACAGAGTTCTCACGTGTAGTTACATCCCCAGGGGACCCCAGATTATAATCAGAATGTTGCTGACTGAGCGGGAAATGGGATCAATGCTCTGAATGGCCAGTAGCATCAAGCAGAGACGCGTAGGGTGTCTATAGGACGTCCCAAACACTTATCCCATAGAAGGTGCTAGACGGAATGTCAGTAGTGGCTGACCTCCCAATTTCCAGGCTTCAATTCTGATCGACATGCCTTATGATCAGTTCAAGCTTCCTATACCTAACCTGTCTTCAAGTTCACGGTCAGCATCAATGCTTGGGTCTGGTGGCCATTCTGTGTTTTTTGGGCTGCCTCTACCTATGCTGTTCTGATTCCTTTTGCTTGTTTTCCCCATTTATTGTCACAGCTGGAAAGTCTTGCTTCCAGATTCTTTGGGGACTCCACAGATAACACTAATACAAAATAATTTGGAAGTAACACTTCCCAGCTGTGACCATTAAATAAATATGTAATTATTACCCAAAGACTTTATAGTAACTGCATGTTATTTAAATATTCATCACCCTAAGAAATGTGGTAAGTACTTCTTGTCTATTAATGTTGGCTAAAGGGTTAGCAGAGTGACCCTCATGCTATTGCTGGTCTGAGTTTTTTTTTTTTTAATTTTTTTATTTCAGATTAAGAATGACCCAAAAGACATCACAGCTTTGTTCCACAGCCAATGTTTATACTCAAGTGCCTGATGGAGGATGGGGCTGGGTGGTAGCTGTGTCTTTTTTCTTCGTTGAAGTCTTCACCTACGGCATCGTCAAGTCATTTGGCGTCTTCTTTAATGACTTAATGGACAGTTTTGATGAATCTAACAGCAGGATCTCCTGGGTCATATCAATATGTGTATTTGTCTTAACATTTACAGGTTAGTACCTCTTCCTGTTTAAGCAACATGTAACCATGCGTCAGTTTTCATTGGCTTAACTACGTAATGGTACCCATCCTGTTTCCGAAGCATTTCCTTCGATGACCTGTGGGCCCTTTCTAGCCTCAAATTAAGTCATAAGGTTTTCAGGAGTTTGGGGATGGCGAGAAACACGAGATGCCGAAGGAAAGGGCCTGATTTGCCACCCTGATGACCTTCAATGTATACACGCATGCATTAAACACCTAGTGTATGCACACTCTTAGGACACGGTAGATGACTTTGAGGCCAGCAGTAAACCCCTATCCTGTAGAGTCATTTTCTAAAGAAGGAACAGCAAAAGCATGTGGTGTCCTAGGCCCTGGTCTTGAAAAACATGTCTGGCAAACAGGGTAGGCACGTGAAATGTGGGTAAGTGAGGAAGAACGAGGGGTGTGAAAGAGCGTGTGATGTAAAGTGACAAACCTCATCCAGAAGGGATGAATTCCAGACACCTGCTTCCCTAACACTGGCTAGCCACCATTCAGGACTCCCACGTCCAACAAAACTGGAGAAAATGGGGTTTGAGTAGAACTTGTAACACGCTCCTTTTCCCTGAGTCCCCTACAGGCCTGATTCTCATGACGGTCCCTCCATCTGCCAGGGGCCACACTGAGGGCTTCCAAGAAAACACAGCCACTGGACTCACCTCGGAAAGCCAGTGGGGCTGACTTTACACTTCCTTGACTTTAATATCCTGCCAATGGAGCTCTTACCTCTACAGTTTTCTTTCTTTAATTCTAATTAATTTTCAGCCATATAATGTCTTAAAGAGGCGGCTCCCCTGTCCTTCCCTATCGAGTAACAAACTTATCTTACAACACCTAATATTCTGTCTTGCAAGCTTCACAGAAGGGTTCCTAGTTCCAGTTTCACTGAATATTGATACTTAATGTTTTAGCTGTGGAAAGTTGACTTTCTTGGAGTGATAAGTGAATTAGAATTAAAATTTTACCTTTGGTCATCCAAATAAAATGTCCAAAGCTTTGCTTTGAGCTCTTTTATAACCAAAAACAACAATACGGTCAACAACAAATTTCCAGTTAATACTATTATACCAGAAAATAGATCTCCTAAATGCTATAATTATAGTAGTTTATGCTTTGCGCCAACAAACCACCTAAAACTGACAAGAGTGGTTTCATTATGAGCTGTATTCAATATTGGTTTATATTCTACTAACATGAGACTTACATGCACCAACCCCAACAAAATTTAGTCCTTTTTTCCCCCTTCTCTATCCGGCATGTTCTGTGTTGCTCTTTTACCCAATTCTCAAAGGTTCCCTCATCTCTGTATATTCCAGTCAGCATCGGGGTCAGCCCAAGTAACGTATCACTGGGAAATGATTTGTCAGACTTAAATGTGCTGCAGGGTTCAGAGTAGAGAAGCTAAATGAATGACAGTTGATCAGCCACTCTGAATTATTTATCCCATGGCTATCCTCCTTTTGGGGTGTTCAACGGAGAATTCAGTGACTTTCATACCATTTTCAGAAAAGTCAAATGAAACTGAGCTAGAAACTGACCCCAAATGGAGCTTTTTTCAAAAGGAATCCAAAGCAGTGACTATAGCAAAAGGAAACAATTCAAGCCATCAGGGGAAAGCCCATTTTTATGACAGAATAACAGACATTAAATGCATATCTAACTTTATAGGTGCTCATGGCAAGTTCATGTCACTTGTATCAAAAAATATCGCTATAAGTTTTGTACTGTTAGTCTGGCTTTCCCTTTAAGAAACCCAAAGAGTTTGGGGGTCAACTGTCCAATTGAGCAATTATAAGCATTGTGTAAAATGCGGTATATATCGATAGCACATCATCCCTCAGTGTTCAAGACTTAAGAGAAGGAATCTTTTTTTTTTTTTAATTTGAGAGAGAGAACGCACACAGGACTGTGGGGGGGGAGGGGGGGGGGGGCAGAGAGAGGGAGAAACAGACTCCCCGCCGAGTAGGGAGCCCCACAAGGGGCTCAATCCCAGGACCCTGGGATCATGACCTGAGCCGAAGGCAGACACGCAACCCACAGAGCCACCCATGCGCCCTAAGGAAAGGAATCTTAAGAAAGCTAATGCTTCCGCCTTTGGAGTTAAAGTGTCACATTACGGAAGCCGTTGGGTGGCTCCGTTGGTTGAGCGTTTGATTCTTGCTTTCAGCTCAGGTCCTGATCTCGGGGTGGTGGGATCCAGCCCCAGGTCTGCTCCGTACTCAGTGCAGCATCTGCTTGAGAATTTGCTCTCCTACTCCCTCGGTCCCTCCCCCTGCTCTCTCGCTCTCTCTCTTTCTAAAAAAAAAATAAATAAAATTGTAACATAAAAAATAAAATATCACATTATGGTCCTTATCTGCAGCTCCCCTCTCTGCTGTCCTGAGCACCCGTTTCGGACATCGTCTGGTGGTGGTGGCCGGGGGCCTGCTCGTCAGCACAGGAATGGTGACGGCCTCCTTCTCCCGGGAACTCTACCACATGTATATCTCGATCGGCGTCGTATCCGGTAAGGGCTGCTCCCGGGCTCGCAAGTTCAGATACCCAATCAGAAGAACAAGGAAGGGGAAGAAGGGGGTCCAGCCCGCAGAGTCCTTCTGTCTCCCTTTCTCTTTTTTTTTTTCTTTGAAGTTAATAGTGTCCCAGATCAGTGGTTCTGAATCAAGATGGATGGACTCCAGGGGATACGGGAAACTCCTCTTACTGCCGCAGAGTTTTTGACGGGGTTTTTAAAAATTTAAAAAACTTTAAGAAACCCAAAGAATTTGGGGGTCAACTGTCCAATTGAACAATTGTAGGCATTGTGTAAAATTTACCCCTGAGGGGCGCCTGGGTGGCTCAGTGGGTTAAGCCTCTGCCTTTGGCTCAGGTCATGATCTCAGGGTCCTGGGATAGAGCCCTGCATCGGGCTCTCTGCTCAGTGGGGAGCCTGCTTCCCCCCCTCTCTCTGCCTCTCTGCCTACTTGTGATCTCTCTGTCAAATAAGTAAATAAAATCTTTAAAAAAAATTTACCCATGAGAAAGAGAACTTCTCTCTTGCGTGAGTTTGCAGCCAAAAGGTATCATTTCCACAAAGTAAAATGTGAATTTCTTTAGTGGGTATTTCCACAATGGGCATGCGAGGCTTCTGGGGCATAGCGGAGAGCGCAGCAAGAAAACTTTTTTTCCCTTTGAAAGGAGTCCGTGTGTTACTTATGATGATATTGTATATTGTGAAGATTTGCACTTTTCCTATATTTCTGCACTTAACAAACCTCATTTATTTCCAAATATAAGTCTTCTTTTAAAACTATTCGATAACAGTCTGTCTGTTGTGAATTAATGAAATTGTTTTAATGCCAAAAAATGGGGGGGGGGACAGAAAACAGTTTATTCTCCTAGCGTCCCCAAACAATGGTTATAGCTTCTCTAGACCTCTAATGAAACCCATTTTATTTTGCTTAATTTTTTGCTACAGCACCTTTTTCCAGAATGAAATTCTTGGCTCCCAAAACTTACGATTTAAAAAAATAAATGCCTCCTGCCCCACCAAACAGTTTATAATGGCAACTTCTATTTCCCCTTTTGCCCAGGAATTATTTCAGAAATGGGCTGTTTGGATTGCCAGGAGATTAGATTGTCTGGTTGTTAACTTCTTTGGTATCAGTTTCAAATTGTCACGCATTGTGACCAAAGTCCTTGTCGGCACATAATCTTTTGGGAAACCAAAAATGTCTTTTTGACATGGCACAGAATATAAAAATAAATAAATAAATAAAACTAAGAGATCCCTAAAAGCGCATACATACATGCGTACATTGAATTAAATATTAAAACAAAAAGAAACACAAAAAATCCCGACTCTTTGAACACATCCTTCTGGGATCAGTCGGTACGGGGCTCTGACTGCTTTCCCTGGCTTTCTTCCAGGTTTGGGATACTGCTTTAGCTTCCTACCAACTGTCACCATCTTATCTCAGTACTTTGACAAGAAGCGCTCCATGGTCACTGCGGTTGCTTCCACGGGAGAATGCTTCGCCATGTTTGCTTTCGCCCCAGGTAGGCGGACCGCAGTGGTCCACGGGGGCCTCTGGGCTGGGGGCAGCCGATCGGCAGCTCCCGCCAACGGGCGGGGGAGGGGGGACTTGAACTCTGTGCACAGGGAGAGGTTATTTGCCTTCTGTCCTCCAGCACATTGGTAGGATCTGTCCTCCCTAATCCCGTTTTGGGATTTCAGCCGCCATTAATACTAATCCGAGTTGACATAAATAGGAAGACACAAGACACATACTCAGTGGGAAGGTTTGAAACCTCTGTGAGGATCTGAGGTCATTCATACTGTGATTTCTCTCCTCCGTTTAAAGAACCACATTCAGTGTGGATTTAACGTATGCTAATAAAGTTAGTTTTCTTATCTGTGAGTGGGTATTCTCACAGCAAAAAAAAAGAAAAATTTATTCATTTATTTTTTAGAGAGAGAGAGAGAGACATGCCCGTGCATGAGGAGGAAGGGGCAGAGGGAGAGGGAGAATTTCGAGCAGGATCCAGGGCCAGCCAGACGCGGGGCTCGATCTCACGACCCTGAGATCATGATGGTGGCCAAAATCAAGAGTCGGACGCTTAACTGACTGAGCCACCCAGGCACCCTCACAGCAAAATTTTTATTGCTGGTTTTTTTTTTTGCTACTTCAACATCAGGAGGTGAATTACACTTTAACGAGGAGTAGACAGTTAACCTTGGAGACCCAGATTCATTTCTCACTCTGCTGTTTCTTCAGAATGTGTCAGTAGACGATGCTTTGTTCAAAGGAGATAATGTAGAAGTATTTAGGGGTGACATGTCCTAATGTCTGAAGCTTTTCACGTAGTTCAGAAAACTGAATGTGTGTGTGCAAATAAATGTATCGGAAGACAGGCAGAGAGATAGGACATGTTAATTATTGAACTTAGGCGAAGGGCAGGCAGGCACTTTCCACGTTACTGTCCACATAAAATTTTTCAAAATTACATGTCAAGGGGAGCAGCAGTGCTCGTGAATGCCCTCCGAGGGCAGAAACTGTATCTTGTATCTTGGTCGCCTTTGTTCCTTAGCACGGGGCATCTCCCTGGGTGCCGGTAGGCCCTCAAGACGTGAAATAGAGAAAAGAAAATTACACCCACTTTTTGCCAGATGAGCATACAGCTTTTCCAAACCCCCAAGCCTAGAGGCACCTGGCTGGCTCAGTGGGTACAGCCTGTGACTCTTGATCTCTGGGTTGTGAGTTCAAGCCCCACGTTGGGCATGGAGCCTACTTAAAATAAGTAAATAAATAAATACCAAATAATAATAATAATAATAATACCCAAGCCTAAAGTATTTTGCAATTGGAAGTTTCCCACATGAATGGGAGGACTGGGAGGTATAAAAACATGCTATAAAATAAATGCCCCCCCACAAGGGATGTGGGGCTGCCTTACTAAGCCTATCTTCTGGATAACCAGCTTAGTGTATCTTCGTAGACATGCTCTCAAAGAATTAGACTATAATAAAATTCTACTGAATATCATTTAACCTTTCAGGGTTGCTCACGAGATATTTTCAGGGTCTTGCGAGGCCTGTGTTGTTTGATTATCACTGTGGGGCTCTAGGCTTCCTGTGGCCATCGCCCCTACCCCCCCTCCAACCGTGTCCAGCAGCCGAGGACCCTGGTCAGCAGCTGAGGACCCAGCTTCCTGGTAGGAAGGAGCAGGACTCTGGTAGTAAAGGACAGTCTGTAAGCAGAAACCCTAGAACCCTGGCATCGTTAAATTCTGGGATAACCAGGAGCTCTTGGAGTCTGCGTTTATCCTTTTACTTAACCCGTCACGACTAAGGATCGCAGGAGTGCAGGGACAGTGATCAAGCTCAGAGGTGGGAAATTCTATTTTAAAAAGACCAGACAGCGAATACTGTGGGCTTTCGCGGGACCATGAGGAGCTGTCAGAAGCCCTCAGATTTGTGGTCCCAGCTCAGAAGCCGCCACTCGGCGCATCAGCCCAAGGAGCGTGGCTGCACCCGGGGGAGGCTTTATGATCGGAGACGGGCAGCGGCCCGGGTTTGGCCTGCGGGCTGCTGCTTGCCCAACCTGCAAGTGGGTCACCAACGGATTTCACATCTTACGCTGCCACCTGGCAAAACGCACCCTCCAAAGCTCTCCTGGGGACCTCGGCCTCTGAGCAGTGCTCTATAGTTAACCATCCCTGCGCCCGTTTTCTCCTTCCCTCGTTCCTAAGAGCATCGGCTGTGAGGATAAAGCCTACAGGGCAGGTGGGCTGCGTTCACACGGCCCAGTACATTCCTACGGCGGTCCTGAGTCTGAATCCCCATGTCGGCTCGCTGTTTTCTCCCGGGTCTTGAGTTGGTTTCTGACCTTCACTTCTGCTTCCTCTCCGCCCCCCTCACCCAAGCGATCACGGCGCTGAAGGACAGCATCGGCTGGAGGTACAGCCTCCTCTTCGTGGGCCTGCTGCAGCTGAACATCGTCGTCTGCGGGGCGCTGCTGAGACCGATTGTCATCCGAGGACCTGGGTCCCCGAAAGCAGCCGCCCACGAGGGTCGGAAAGAAGTGCAGTATATGCTCGAGAATGAGAAAACACGCACCTCAATAGACTCCATTGACTCAGGAGTAGAACTAACTACCTCACCGAAAAATGTGCCTAGTCACGCCAACACAGAACTGGGACCGAAGGGCGACACACAGCAGGTCCTCGTGGGGACGGGCTCCAAGCCGAGCCACCAGACAGCCCCTTTGTTAGACTTCTCAATCTTGAAAGACAGAAGTTTTATCTGTTACGCGTTGTTCGGTCTGTTTGCCACCCTGGGGTTCTTCGCGCCTTCCCTGTACATCATCCCCTTGGGCATCAGTCTGGGCATTGAGCAGGAGCGGGCTGCTTTTCTGTTATCCACGATGGCCATTGCTGAAGTTTTCGGAAGGATCGGAGCCGGCTGTGTGCTCAGCCGGGAGCCCATCCGCAAGATCTACATTGAGCTCATCTGCGTCGTCTTGCTGATGGTGTCTCTGTTTGCCTTCACTTTCGCCACCGAGTTCTGGGGTCTCATGTCATGTAGCATCTTTTTTGGTTTCATGGTTGGAACAGTTGGGGGAACCCACATTCCGCTGCTCGCCGAAGACGATGTCGTGGGAATCGAGAGGATGTCTTCTGCTGCTGGAGTGTATGTCTTCATTCAGAGCATAGCAGGCCTGGCCGGACCACCCCTTGCAGGTAATTTAAATACGTAAAAGACATAATCCTTGGCTACTCTTGCCTTATGAATTGTGCTCGCTTCTTGTTATAGTCTTAAAAAAAGAAAAAAAAGAAGGCTGCTTTTCATAGTCCCATAGAATTTCAGAGCTGGTGGGATTAGAGATGACCTGAGCCAGTCTTGAGTTATAGATGAGGAAACGGAAGGTCACAGCACGTCAGCCAACAGTCATATGGTAAATGAGTGACGAGGTAGGGATTAGAACCCACATCTGCAGTCCACGCTGCCCCGGGTTTTTTTTTTTTTGCTACCGTCTTGCCTTAGCTGTGCCAGAGGGCACCCATCCACGTATCACCCCACCGCCCTCTGACTTTGGAACAGCAGCACTGAGGGACTTTGTACGTCATCTGCCCTTTTAAGGAAGGGTGTAAGGGCAGTGGGCACGGAACGTATTCTGCAGATACTTAATTCATTTCTACACAATATTTCTTGTAGGAAGGACTTGGGTGTGCTTCATACCTTAGCCCTGAAATAGGTCCTCAAATGTTGTTACGAGAGAAATCTTCCTACCTTTTAAAAGATCCCTGAAGTGAACCCAAGGGAAAATAATAAGGCTCTTCCTTCTCTAAGGAACATGCAGGGGCCGCTGGGTGGCTTCATCGGTGAGGTGTCTGCCTGCGGCTCAGGTCATGGTCTCTGGGTCCTGGGATCGAGCCCCGTGTTGGGTTCCCTGGTTGGTGAGGAATCTGCTTCTCTCTCTTTCTCCCTCCCCCCCCACCCCTTCCCACCACTCATGCTTACTTTCTCACAAATAAATAAATAAAATCTTAAAAAAAAAAAAAAAAGGCATCTAACTGTCCCAAGTTTTGTTCTGTACGAGCACAGATTAGCCCGTGAGGAACAGGCTAGCAACCCCGTGGCCTCCGCTCTATTGGTCCCAACTGACTCCTCCTCCCCAGTCCAGAAAAGCTGCCCACCGTCACCACTCCTGTTTCTTTCGGAAACCCAGATAAAACAGAAGGAGGCAAAGGCACGGAGAAGCTTCTGCACTTGAGGGGAGCCTGGGTGAGCGAGGGACTGTGCCCGCGTTGCTAACAGCTGTGTATATTCTCCCTCAGGGCTGCTGGTGGACCAGAGCAAGATTTACAGCCGCGCCTTCTACTCCTGCGCCGCTGGCATGGCTGTGGCTGCCGTGTGCCTCGCGCTCGTGAGACCGTGTAAAAAGGGACTGTGCCAGGGTCACCCTGCGGGTGAAGGACAGGCAGAGAGTCCTCGTGGGAAAGCTTTACAAGACATACCTGAAGACTTTCTGGAAATGGACCTTGGGAAAAATGAGCATAAAGGTCACGTGAAAATGGAGCCAGTGTGACAGGCTCCCCGGGCAGGGCCGCCACCCCGTTGGCCCGGAGGCAGGTGGACGGGGTGGCGGGGGGAACAGGGAGGTACAGGGGCTATCCACTCTCCCCACTTTTAAAGCTACATTTTAAAGGGAACGTACATGAGAATACCACCATCCCTTTTTTTTTTTTTCCTTTTAAGTTTTCCTGTTCGATTGTTTCTTAAGCCAAAACAAAAACAACCCAGCACTCTTCTGTACATACGTCTGGTTCTATGCAGGAGCAGCCGAGAGATACAAAGAAGGACCCAGTGGCTCACATTCTGGTATTAAAATAGTGACGCGAAATGGTAAAGTGGTTTTAAGAGCTCTTGCATGTGATACACAGCTCGCTTACAAAAGGACAGCTAGCCCAGATCACGGAGATGAAATTGGCCACTCAAAACAGACAAACAAAACTTAAATCATTTAAAAAATTTTCTCATTTTTGGAAATATGAGCAAATTGCTTTAACACCCCCTTGGAAAACACTGAGGTCTCCATTCGCCAAATGTGGCCTCTCCGTTTTTCAAATATTCCGTGGGAATGAAGTACAGTTTAAGACCAAACATTTGGTGAATAAAGAGAAATTTAAAAAAAAAAAAAAAAAAGATCCATAACTTGAACTTAATTCATCAATGTGAAGATTACCACTTCTTTTTATGGCCAGTCATTACCAGAAGTATTTCAACACCGAAGATAGAGAATGACATTCAAAAATGTGTTTCCTGTTGCTTTCAATTACTTAGAGATATGTGACTGTAGTGTCTTTAATTTAAACCACTATTTATTATTAAGTTATTCTAGGATGATTAATCAGAAGAAATAAAATCTGAGACCTAAGCATCATTTTTACCTCCTTTTTGCAATCCTTTCAATGCCTCAAAGAATACTTCTTATCTTGAAAAGTCACTCTCGTAAGAGGGTCAGGTTGTAATGATTCTTCGGTTTGGTCAAAGGCCACCTGTGCTGTTTGAAGGGGAAGAAAATAATCGCCTTAGCTTTTTAAAATAATCTGTTTTATCACCTAAGAATACTTGAGGATCTCCTTTGATCGGAATTATATTTCAGTGAATTGTTGAGGAATTTCTGAGTTTTTTTCTTTTTGTAACTGCTAACTGTTGAAGCATTTCTGTATTTCACATGGGGTAGCAGAGACGTGTGTTTTTACCATCATGAGTTAACAAGTTGCAATTTACATCTTATATAAACCTTGATTGCTCTAGTTGCCAGTTATTAGGTAACTGCTCACTGTTGGTTGGGTTTTTTTGTTGTTTTGTTTTTGGAATTACACTACATGTTTAAGTATTTCTCATTTTCTCATTTTTCTGTAAAGAGGGCAAGTGTGGCTACTTACTTACACGTACTGAATCTCACTCTCCAGGTGATGGTCGCTCACTGCTCCATCTTTTACTCATCTTTACTGTTAATTTATGACAACTCAGGGGGAAAAAATGTAACAAGCCTAGTTTGGTTACAGGTACACACAAGCTTGAATATTTCTCTGCACTGAAATGAAAGTGGCATAACGCATCACCACCTGCTACATTTTGTATAGCATTTTATCAGCCATAAAAATAGGACAATCTGGAAAACTCTCGGGGGCGGGGGAGAAGATGACCAAGTGTCTGTCGCAGACACACCTAAATCAAGGTGGATGTAGCAAATCTCTGTCACTGCTTGAGAAGGCCTTTGAGCTTGTGGCAGTCTGGCAAACTTACATGACTTCAGCACTTTACAACATTTTTTACTATGAATGTTCAATACAATTTAATATTTATAACTGATTTCTGAGCAACCGGCTCTAAGTCCGTTCTGTTAACTGCATGAAAAAAAAATGTATGCCAATTTAAGTATGTCAATAATCAGGTTTTAAATGTTTGGAAGAAAATTAAAACAGGATTGCTGATTTGTTCTGTATTCGTGACATTCTGGTACTTCTAGATTTGCAATAAATGTATGGCTTTTTTTTTAATGAAGAGACTGATTTGGTTTTTTTGTATAGACTCTGGCATTCATTGTTTGATCCCACTCAAATTATAAAAGCTCAAGGAAGATTCACTTCAAACAAATTTTTTTTTTTTCACGTTTCTGCAAGATCTTTTACCTCTACGGGAGACACACAAACATTTCCAAGAAGTGTTTGTTGAACTTGATTATTTCTTAATGAAAAATATATGAATGAAATGAGATCGTGGTCACTGTAGAGTAATAGCTAAGCCTATCAAAAGTAATAAATAGTGGAGATTATCTATATCCAGTTACAGACCAGTCCTAAGAGCTACTCCACCTCCAAGTGAACAGCATAGTCTCCATGCCAGGGATCAGCAGACTTGTTCAGGAAAGGTCCAGATTGTAAATATTTAAGGTCTTGTGGGCCATGTGGGTTCTGTCACAATGACTCAGCCCAATGGCTGCAGTGTGAAAGCAGCCAAAGACAATATATAAAGTCATGAGCATGGCTGCTTCAATAAAAATTTATTGATGGATACTGAAATTTGAATTTCATCACAAATTTTTTTTTTCAACCACATAAAAGTGTTACCAAAAAAACAAACAAACAAAAAAAAACCTTATTAGCTTGTGGTCTGGAAAGAAAAACAGGCAGTGGGCTGGATTTGGCCTGCGACCTACAGTTTCTAACCCCTGCCCCACGTAAAAGTGATCCTGGAAGGCTCAGGCCCACCAGGGGCACCTCTCTGGAAAGGAACGTCCTGGTAGGAAAGGATCATTGTGGTCAGAGTGGCTTTTGGCTCATAGGTGCCAGAGACAGGAAAGATCAAACTGCTGATGATGGCACGTTAATTATAAGTTTTCATTTCCTGGGATTAAAGAGATTCTGCTCCGACCTTGTTGATTTAATAATGTTTCAGGCTAAACGAAGACTACTTCCCTCCTCAAAAGTAGAATTATTCCAGTGGTAAAAATGAGTTAAGATCATGTGCTCTTTTAAGACAAATGCACCCTTCATGGATACAGTGTTTCCAAACCTTTTAACAAAGTTACCAGTTTTGTCCTCCCCTGCTGTGAAATGTAGCCTTTGTACATTTCTTTGCCTGTCCTGCAGCTTAATACCTGGTGAAAAAATAGAAAATAGATCCCGAGCCAGGGTTCCCATGGCCCAGTTATCCATTCAAGTCTCCTAGACGTATTTATTATTTATAACATTTAGATTTCCATACTCTTTCTCAAAAATATTTGAAATAAGAAATAAGCATGTATGCTTATTTTTAAAAAGCTCCCAAGTATCAGGCTCACTAACAGGGATTTAAAGTTCAGAGAACATTGCCTAAATGTTATGATCTTTACTTGAAACGACCAATTTAAAGACAATCCAGAAAAAAAAAAAAAAAAGACAACTCAGACTTGTTATGTGCTAAAAGGTTAATCCTATAAGTATACGTAAGTATATGGAGCCTTGAGAAAAGAGAAGCTGGACTTGCTTTCCAATTTGTCTCTGATACAGATGTTAATCAGAGGGCGGCAATGTCCCAACAGGTGGGCCAGCCACTGTATAAGCAAGGAAACTAGCTCCCCCTGGTGTTCAGCTTCTGTAAGGACTCCCGGGGGTGCAGAAGAAGAAAAGAGACAAGTTTCAGAACGCACAACACTGCTTTTCATGGAAGAAAATCTCTCCCATCCAAATCAAAATTACTTCAGTGATTATGGATTTCCTAGAGGGAAAACTGGCCAGCAAAAGTGATATTCCAGAACATTTTATCTACAAACGCGTTTTAAATAGAGCTCAGCAAGTATTACGGAGAGAAAATACACATTGTGACCGTGTATTTATATTATTTAGACACCTTTCCAGCAACTCAAGAAAAAGCATGGCAACTGTACTGACAGCAATCTACTCCCCTGGAATTCAAGCAAAACTGTAAGCCCCTTTTCTACAGGGACACCTCCTGTTCTCAGATCCGACCGTGCCCCGGAGATCCAGACTCACACATGCCAGTGTGACGGCACCTGGTGCCAACCAGGCATTTCCAACGTCACGTGTCCTCAGCAGAACTCTTGACCCTCCTCCCCAAACCTGCTCCTCCACAAATCCTATTGGCTTTACTTTCTAAATATATCCAGAACCTGCTTTTGCCAATTCTATCAGTAACCCTGATCCAAGCCAGTATCATCCTAGCCGGATTATGGCAATCGTCTTCTAGCTGGTTTGCCCAATTCTGCTATTGCTTTAATTTTCCAGACAGAAGCCTTAACGACAATCCTCTGAAGGCACAAATCAGTCACAACCTCATTTGAAACCTAAAACCCCTAACTAACAATGAGTTCTTCATGAACTGCTTGCTCTTACCTCCTTCCCTGCTCTAACCGCACCAGCCTTCTTCTTGTTCCTTGAGAACACAAGCCTCATGCCTTAGCATCTGTAGCTCCCTTTCCCTGGTCTGCCCTTCCTTTTGATGTGTACATGATGTGACCCTTCAATTTGGTCTCCTCCAAACGTTCCTGAGGAGGCATTCCTGACTCTCCTATCCAAGACAGTACTTGCTTCTGCCCTTTACCCTGAAAAAAAGTTCTACAAGTATTTGTTTTCACTCATTAACCAGGCCTCATCCATTTGCACCTTAAGGTAGTGGGGGTCTTTTTTGGTTATTGTTGTTTACTGCTACCTCCCCAGGCTTTGAGCAGGGCCTGGCAAGGAGTAGGTGGTGCTCCAAAAATATTGTTTAATGAATGAAGGAGTTTATTTCTCTTTGGCTTTTTCAAGAGGAAAGGACATGGTATTGATTTACATTTACAGCTCAAGACAGTTGGTGCTGCTAGAGAGCGGCTGGGTACCTCCAAGACACTGAAGGCTGTGATCCAAGCCCACTGGCCCAACAGCTGAGCAGTAAGGAAGAAAACATAGATCCATTGCAGACTAAACAAACAGCGGGAAGAAATTACTCCGGAGGGTAGGTGTACAGATGGAGGGCCCAGGTTTAACATATTGCTGGAGCAGATTTTGTTTCAACGTAACCTATTTTCCAGTAGACTTT